AGATTCGAGACACTCAAGAGACAAATTTTCAAGTTTAAAGCCCGTATGCATTATAAACACTACACTATTACACTGTTCCAAAAAATAGGCTACCGCACATATGCATCCAACTTTAACGTCCTTCAATATTTGCACCACTCTGTGCATTATTTTTTGGTTGCTTCCAAATCCAGAGTGTATCAATCATATTTTATCCTGAACACAAGACATCACATTGAAGTTTCAATCACTGAATGCCTCAGTTGATGCCTAACCAAATGTGATGCAGAAACAACTAGTATGCAACTTATTCATCCAGCATTCCACAGAAGACGACGTAGATTGGAATGAAAGTTACAATTACTCTTCGTCTTTATCTGTACCTGCCAGTTGGCCAAATCTGGCAAATTACAATTATCTATCAATTGCGTGAAGGGAAATATGTCGGAAAATATATTTTAATATTATATAGATGTAATTTCCTGTAGGATTGGCTAGTGTAGTTATAGCGTTTTCCTATTTGGTGGTGCACCTTTCTTGCTTGTTCTTTCATATTTGTACCCTTGAACCTATAGTGAAACCCTCATTCTCCTTCTCAACTCTTTCGACATTCTCCTCACCCTCGAACTCAACTTACTCGATCTCACTAGCCATGGCTCCTAAGCCTCGCTAGAAACTTAATATGCTATCAGAGTGATCACGGTTCTGGCCTGTGGACCCGCCCTATTGCTTCCGCTGCTACTCTGTGTTCTGCAGGCCCCGTGGCGTGCCCCTTAATTTTCTCTTAGCGGCCCCGTCGCCGCCCTTTCAAAGGCCCCTCACGGCCCCTTCGCGGCCCCGTCGCCGCCCTTCCGCGGCCCCGTCGCCGCCCTTTCAGCGGCCCCATCGCCGCCCTTTCAGCGGCCCCGTCGTCGCCCGCCCTTCAGCAGGCCCCGTCACCCGCCCTTTCAGCGGCCCCACCGCCGCCCTTTCAGCGGCCCCGTCGCCCGTCTTTCAGGAGGCCCCGTTGCCCGCCCTTTCAGCGGGCCCCGTCGCCGCCCTACCAGCAACCCGTCGCGGCTCCTTCGGGAGCCGCACGCGGCCCCCTCAGGTCGCCTCGACAGGTGACGGGAGGGGCGACCTGGAAAGGGGGGGCAGGCGTCGCCCCCTCTGCCGCCTGCTTTGGCGCCCGGGGAGGCCGTGTAGAGGGGAGGGTCTGGGGTGGCGGGTGTGGGGGTGATGGGTGGTGTGTTTCCCTTCCCCTCCTCCTCCTTTCGTTCCCACTGCTGCAGCTGCCGATGGGGGGGAGGGTGTGAGGGTGTGGGGGGAGGGTCTGGGGGTGGCGGGTGTGAGTGGTGTCTTTCCCTTCCCCTCCTCCTCCTTTCGTTCCCACTGCTGCAGCTGCCGTTGGGGGGGAGGGTGTGAGGGTGTGGGGGAGCCAGGGGAGTGGTATTATTGAAACACTTTTCTCCTCCTGCGCAATCGTGATGTACCCCTTCAGAGGGCGCTAACTGCATACTCATCTCCTACAGCTAGTTATGGGGGCGTGTCGGAAAATATAATTTAATATTTTCTATATGTGACTGCCTGTAGGATTGGTTACTGCAGTTATAGCGTTTTCCTATTTGGTGGTGCACCTTTCTTGCTTCTTCTTTCATATTTGTACCCTTGAACCTATAGTGAAACCCTCATTCTCCTTCTCAACTCTCTCGACATTCTCCTCACCCTTGAAATCAACTTACTCGATCTCACTAGCCATGGCTCCTAAGCCTCGCTAGAATCTTAACAAAATAAATGCTCGAAAAACGCACGGGCGAAGATATTGAAATGCCATTTCTTCAATTTCTGCTGAGGATATTCTTACGATCAAACAAAAACACAGCAAGTAAAAGCAGGATTATATACTTGTAAAGAACGACAACGTTAGTAAAATAGAATTGCATGAATACATCAAGCGTAGCCAGAATGACACGGATATGCATGACAGGTTTAAGGGTACGAAATACTAACCGTCATTTCAAATTGTATTTGCTATCGTGATCCACTGCCATGGAAAGGAAGGAACGCAAGGGAAGAAGATGCACAAATTAGATGCATTAACATTGAAAGGGACGATATAGTTGATGGGAGATAAGAGAGTAACTAAGAGATGCTAATCGACATGACGGTTCTGGTGACGATAGAAGAGGTAGAACAAGAGCGCTATTAATTGCAAACAAACACAAATGCGCGCTATAGGGATTCAGATATGAAATCCTAGTAGAGCCAAGTTATTGGCAGACACAGAGACAGAACAACAAAATACGGGGAGAAAGAAATGAGTTGTGACGAGCAAAACGCTCTAATCCAAAAAAACGATTGAAAAAATGAGGGAGGTTTGGATGGGTTTAACTAGTTTCGCAGTGGCTAACGTGATGAGGTTTTCACATTGAAGTGGTTGGCACATGTTGTTGAGTATTTGGGTTGTGTGGTGGCAGTGACGCGACTATTTTCCAGTGCACGTGGCGATTTTGATGCAGTTGGCAGGTGCCACGTTGGTTTGCATGACAGGTGGCGCAAAGGTACTGCTTATTTCGAATCACGATGCGTTTTTTTCAACGAACGAATCTCCTAAGCGAAATTGGTAAGAAGCTCCAGGTCATTTAAATTTACGTTAGCTCCTAGCGCAGTGGTCTTGACTTCAGATATTATCCGAAGGTGTCGAGTCCGATTCCCATGTCAGAACATTATAGCTCATGCATATTGTGTAGGCTATAGTGGGGTAGCCCATAAGGGGTACAACCCAATTAGGGTTAGTACTTGTACCCAATTCATTCATAGTTCATTCATTCTCATTTCAATTCTCTCATGGTATCAGAGCAGGTTCCCTCGTGGGAACTGTTCCTAGGGCCCACCAATTAGACTTTTTTTCCTGCCCGGAGCGCGCTCAGCCCTAGCCCCGTCGCGCCGCCCTAGCGGCCCTGTCGCCTGCCTTGCGGCCCTCGCGCCGCCCTTCCTGGCCCCGACCCGCCGCCAGGCGGCCTCGTCGCCTACCCCGCGGCCATCGCGCCGCCCTTTCCCAGCCCCGATCTGCCGCCCTGCGGCCTCGTCGCCCACCCAGCGGCCCTCGCGCCGCCCTGCGGCCCTCACGCCACCCTTACCGGCGCCTACCCGCTGACCTCGCCACCTACCTGCGGCCCCGCCACCTACCTGCGGCCCCGCCACCTACCTGCGGCCCCGCCACCTACGAGCGGCCCCGCCACCTACCCGCGGCCCCGCCACCTACCTGTGCGGCCCCGCCACCTACCTGCGGCCCCGCCACCTACCAACGGCCCCGCCACCTACCCGCGGCCCCGCCACCTACCTGTGCGGCCCCGCCACCTATCTGCTGGCCCCGCCACCTACTTGCTGGCCCCGCCACCTACCTGCGGCCCCGCCACCTACCAGCGGCCCCGCCACCTGCCTGCGGCCCCGCCACCTACCCGCGGCTCCGCCACCTACCTGTGCGGCCCCGGCGCCTACCTGCGGCCCCGCCACCTACCTGCGGCCCCGCCACCTACCTGCGGCCCCGCCACCTATCACTTTAGCCAGTACAAGAGTGCTCAGACCTTGTACGACGCTGTATTTGCACGCTACTCCTCCCCTGCCACTGCTGCACTGAGCCGCCTTATGCTACCGTACCTCTTCCCTGACCTTGCTGCCTTTCCCACAGTTGCTGACCTCATTACGCACCTCCGCACTAGTGACACTCGCTACCGCGCTGCGCTTCCTGCTGAGTTCTGCGCCAAGAACCCCCCCCCCAATGTACATCACTCTCTACTACATAGTCACCCGTCTCCCTGACTCCCCTCTCGTAGTTTGGGACCACTTCCTCTCAGTTTGCCCCACCACTCTCACCGTTGACCTCCTCGAGAAGGCCCTCCTAGCAGCAGAAAAGAGCATAGTAGCTGTAGGAGCCTCTCGTGGTGACCCTCGCACCCCCATCTTTGAGGGGTGTTCCCCCTCCCCTCTTTTGCCCTCTGTTGCCTCTGCTGCTGCAGCCGACCTCGTTGGTCTCGAGTCGGCCGGTGCGGCATCTAACCCTAGTGGGAAGCGTTGCTCTGGCAAGGGCAAGGGGAGCAGGGGCGCTGGAGGAGCTAGCGGGGGCGGTGGAGGCGGCGGTGGAGGCAGTGGAGGGGGTGGGGGTGGTGGTGGGAGTGGTGGCGGGGGTGGAGGTGTCGGCGACGGCAGTGGAGGCGGAGGCGGCGGCGGCGGTGGCGGTGGGAGCGGAGGTGGTGGAGGTGGCGGAGGTGGAGGAGGCGGTGGCGGAGGAGGAGGAAGAGGAGGTCGTGGCTCTTCGCAGAGGAGTGGCTCCGGTGGTGGTCAGCGCCAGCAGCAGCAGCGCAGTCGGGAGACCCTGTCCCCTCAGCAGCTCCGTGAGTGGTACGCTGCACGCCAGCGTGGTGGGGGTACTGGTCCGTGCACCTACCTCCTGCGCACTGGCGACCGTGCGGGTGAGCAGTGTGGGGGTGCGCACCCCACCCAGCGCTGCTTTGGCCGCCTGACAGACGCTTGGCGTCACCAGTTCCCTGAGGCCACTAAGATCCCTTGCTGGGGCGAGCTGTCTAGGGCAGGGGTAGCTATCTTTGACCTTTACTTTGATGCTATTCTTGCTGCTATGTATACTGTGTCTATTAGTGAGGAGGGTGACTGTGACCGGTGTTTCCCGCCCAACCCGGGCATTGAGACTGCTGCTCTAGGTGCTGGTGAGGCTGTTGCTCTTGGTGCTAGCAAGGCTGCTGCTCTAGGTGCTAGTGCGTCTGCTCCCTCCAGTACTGGTGAGTCTGCGCTCTCAGGTACTGCGTCGGCTTCGGCCTCCCTCCAGTACGAGTGAGTCTACTCGGGGGCTTCGCGCTCCTTCTTTTGAGACCGCACCACACTCACGCCGCTTGGTCGGCCAGTTGCACTCTCCCTGGCAGACCCCTCTGGGGATCTTGTCCTTGCTCACTTCTCCACTGTCCTCCCGTGTCCGGCGGCCCCCTCTGGCACCCTGTCTGGTCTTTACCTCCCCTCGTTCTCTACGAACTTGGTGAGTGGTGCTGACCTACAAGATGCGGGGGTTCACCAATTCACTCCTGCGAGTCAGCGGGTGACCCACTGCACGGACGCTCAGACAGGCCGACACCTGGCCACGTTTACACGTCGGCCGGGGTCGAGCCTGTACATTGACCACTGCGTCTACTCCAATCCCTGCGTCTGGTCAGGTAGCTGCGTCGGGTCAGGTGTTTGCTGCAGCGTCCAAGTCTGGTCCTGAGTCTGCCCCCTGCTCTTGTCACCTCCTGTCTCACGAGACTCTCCTCTGGCACCACCGCCTTGGTCACCCCTCCCTGCTTCGTCTCCAAACCATGGCCTCCCGTATCCTTGTCTCTGGTCTTCCCCGGTCCCTCTCTCCCCTTCCTCCGGGGCCTGGCCCTACCTGGGTCCCCTGTGTCGAGGGGCGGCAGCGGGCTACCACTCACTCCTCCCAGTTTCCTCCGACAGAGGCCCCGCTGCAAACGCTTTACATGGACGTGTGGGGCCCCGCCCGCGTCCGTGGACAGGGTCACGAGCGCTACTTCCTGCTGGTGGTTGACGACTACTCACGTTACACCACAGTCTTCCCCTTGCGCAGCAAGGGCGATGTCATTGAGGTGTTGATCGACTGGATCCGCGCAGCTCGTCTCCAGCTCAGGAGGAGCTTCGGCTCGGACTTTCCTGTTTTGCGTCTGCACTCTGACAGAGGCGGAGAGTTCTCCTCTGGCCTTCTGCAAGCCTACTGTCGTGCACGAGGCATCCGCCAGACCTTCACGCTTCCGAACTCTCCACATCAAAATGGGATTCCTGAGCGCCGCATTGGCATGGTTATGGACGTCGCCCGTACGTCCATGATGCATGCAGCTGCCCCCCATTTTCTGTGGCCGTTTGCGGTTCGGTACGCGGCGCATCAAATCGACCTTCAACCCAGGGTCTCCATGTCGGAGACCTCCCCAGCTTTGCTGTGGACCGGGAACATTGGCGATGTGTCTGTGTTCCGTGTCTGGGGATCTCGGGCGTTTGTCCGCGACTTGTCTGCGGACAAGCTGTCCCCTCGTGCTGCTCCTTGCGTCTTCCTGGGTTTCCCCCCTTACGTGCCAGGGTGGCAGTTCTACCACCCCACCTCTCGCCGTGTTCTGTCCTCCTAGGACGTCACGTTCGACGAGTCGGTCCCTTACTACCGTCTCTTCCCCTACCGGACTCCGTCCCTCCTCCCGCCACCGCTCTTCCTTGTGCCAGGTCCCCCCCCGGTAGACCCCCTCCCCCCTCAGGGTCTTGCCCCTTCAGGTGTGTCCCACTTAGACGGTGTCGAGCCTGTCAAGGTCGCTGGTGACTCTGGTGCTGCTGAGGGTGCTGAGTCTGGGGGTGCAGACTCTGGGGGTGCTGAGCGTGTGGGTGCTACGCCTGGGGGTGCTGAGCCTTGGGGTGCTGAGTCTGGGGGTGCTGAGCATGGGGGTGCTACGCCTGGGGGTGCTGAGCCTGGGGGTGCTGAGCCTGGGGGTGCTACGCGTGGAGGTGCTGAGCCTGGGGGTGCGGAGCCTGAGGGAGCTGGGCCTGCTGGTGCTGTGCCTAGCGGTTCTCCGAGTGTTTCTTCTCGCCGGGAGCCACTCTCTCCACAGGAGCTACGTGAGTGGTTTGCCCGGCGCTGGAGACGAGCTGCTGGAGCTGGAGGTGCTGCGGGTACTAGAGGTTCTTTTGCTGCTGAGGGATTTGGTGCCACGGGTCCCGGAGGCGCTCGTACTGGGAGTACTGGAGCAGCTGGACCTGCGGGTACTTCTGGAGCTGGAGCTGCTGCGGGTGTTGGCGCGGAGGCTACTCCTGTTGGTACTGGAGGCGGTCCTGCTGGGGGTACTACTAGTGCTACTGGAGGTACTGAAGCTAGAGCTGCTACTGGTGCTGGTGCTACCACTGGGGGTGCTGGTGCTGTCCCTGCTGTGTCTGGAGTCGCTGCACGGCCTCGGCCGTACTTTGTTCCACTCCTTCAGTAGGTTCTTGGTCCCCCGTCTTCTACTAGTCCTCCTCCTCTCTTAGAGTGTCCCCAGCCTCTCCCGTCGCAGTTACAGTTACAGCCGGCCTCCCCACTGCTTGCTCTGTCACCCTACACTGGTCCTACTGGAGGTCTTGCTAAGCGTCGTGAGCCTGCGTCTCGCCCTGCGTTGCCTGTCCGTGCTGCTCGCACTAGTGGTCGCGGTTTGCGTTAGCGTCCTCTTCCTCTCCCTAGCACACAACGGATGTCTTTGCGTCCCTCCACTGCTCCTCTGCGTACCCCTTTGCCTTCTCCTCCTCTGTCTTCTCTTTCTGCTCTTGCCGACCCGGAGTCGGACTCTCTTCGTGCTGCCAGTCCTACTATCACGCGTCTCCTTGCTACTGTTATCACTGACCCTTCCTTTGAGTCCACTGCTGCGTCTACCCTAGTTGCTGAGCTCGTCAACTTTGCTGCTCGCTGTCGCCTAGACTACGCCGCCAGTCTTGTTGCTGAGTCTGAGTCTGTCTGTCCTCCGTCCGTCGGGGGTGAGTGTGCCCTTGGCACGGACGTCCTTGAGGACAGGCAGGAGGAGTTTCAGTGCTTGGCTGCTGCTTCACCTCATCTCGTGTCCGTACTGCTTACCCCTGAGGGAGAATCGGATGCACTTGACATCCCGACTCCGCGCTCTTACGCGGAGGCGATAGAGGGTCCCTACTCCTCTCAGTGGCAGGCAGCTATGGATGCAGAGATGGCTTCGTGGAAGTCCACGGGCACCTACGTTGACGCTGTTCCCCCTCTTGGGGCGAACATCGTCAGTGGCATGTGGATTTTCAGGGTGAAGCGACCGTTGGGTTCTTCGCCTGTCTTCAAGGCGCGTTACGTGGCTCGTGGCTTCAGTCAACGGCAGGGAGTTGACTACTTTCAGACCTTCTCTCCCACTCCGAAGATGACCACTCTTCGAGTACTGCTGCACATAGCTGCTCACCGTGACTACGAGCTACACTCTCTTGACTTCAGCACTACTTTCTTGCAGGGCAGCCTGCACGAGGAGATCTGGCTGCGCCGCCCACCTGGTTTCACAGGGTCTTTTGCTCCTGCGCAGACGCTTCTTGGGCTGACGACCAGGCTACGGAGCGGTCGTCACAGGGTTACACCTTCAGCCTTGGTTCCGGCTCTTTTTCGTGGCGGGCTACTTGCTCGTCTTCTGTTCTCAGTTGAGAGGCTGAGATCTACGCAGGAGCCATGGCTGCACAGGAGCTTCGCTGGCTCACCTACCTGCTGACTGACCTCGAAGAGCCGCCTAGTTCTCCTCCAGTGCTGTACGTCTACAACAAGGCCATGCTGGCCCTGTGTCGGGAGCAGCGACCGGAGCACAGAACGAAGCACATTGCTCTCTGCTAACTTCTTGCTCGTGAGCTACAGCAGCGTGGTCAGCTGCGTCTTGCGTACGTGGCCTCTGAGGCCAACACTGCTGATATCTTCACCAAGGCGCTTGCGCCTTGTGACCATCAGCGCTTCTGTACTCAGCTTGGTCTTGTGCCTGTCCTGCCGCCCCTCGTTGCGGCCCTGCCGCCCCCTTCTTTGCGGCCCCGCCGCCTCTTCTTCGCGGCCCCGCCGCCTCTCCTTCACGGCCCTGCCGCCCTTCGTCGCGGCCCCTGCCGCCCTTCGTCGCGGCCGTGCCGCCCCTCGTTGCGGCCCCGCCGCCATTCTCCACTGCGACTCCGCCACCCTGCACCGCCCGCTTCGCCCGAGCCGCCTAAGCCGTTGAGGACCCAAGCCGCCCGCGCCGCCTGTGCCACTGAGACCCGAGCCGCCCGAGCCGCCCAAGCCGCCCGTGCCGCCCGAGCCGCCTGAGCCGCCTGGGTCGCTGGTACTGCGGAACTGCTGTTGCTGCTGGGCCGTCCGAGCAGCAGAGTTGCCGTGTTGCTGTGCTACTAAGCTGCTCGAACCGCCCTGTCTGGTGAGAGCAGCACCTCTGTCACTGCACTACCCCTGACCTACAGTCAGGACTGCTAGCCTACTGCTGTCATGGCTACCCCTAGTGTCCTCGCCTTTGACGCTGAGGGTCGGGCCATTGACTTTGAGGTCTGGGTAGATGACCTGCAGCTGTTCTTATAGTGCGATAGGGCGGACGGCCTCTCTCTCTTTGACCTCACCTCTGGCGCTTCCCCTGCCCCTACTGCTGATGCTAACGCCACTGTTCGCTCCCAGTGGGCCACCCGCGACGCTGCTGCACGTCTTGCTGTGCGTCGCCACCTCCCTACCTCTGAGCGTGCGCACTTTAGTCAGTAGAAGAGTGCTCAGACCTTGTACGACGCTGTGGTCGCGCGCTACTCCTCCCCTGTCACTGCTGCACTGAGCCGTCTCATGCTAGCGTACCTCTTTCCTGACCTTGCTGCCTTTCCCACAGTAGCTGACCTCATTACGCACCTCCGCACTAGTGACACTCGCTACTGCGCTGCACTTCCTGCTGACTTCTACGCCAAGAACCCCCCCCCCATGTACAACACTCTCTACTACATAGTCACTCGCCTCCCTGACTCCCTTTGTGTAGTCAGGGATCACTTCCTCTCGGTCTGTCCCACCACTCTCACTGTCGACCTCCTCGAGAAGGCCCTCCTAGCGATAGAGAAGAGCATAGTCGCTGTAGGAGCCTCTCGTGGTGACCCTCGCACCCCCATCTTTGAGGGGTGTTCCCCCTCCCCCATTCTGCCCTCTGTTGCCTCTGCTGCTTGTCAAACATTATATATGTTGTGTTAGTTTAGGCTACAGTGGGTTAGCCTATAGGGGGTACACAATTCTAGGGTTAGGTACTTGTACTCATTTCACTGCTAGTTCATTCATTCCTGTTCAGTGATTCCAACATGGTATAGAGCAGGTCCTTCCTAGGACCGAAATTTTCTAAGGGCCCACCACTACGTAACTACCTACCTACCTACCTACCTATGCCCTAGGGCGCCTCGGCGTGTCACGCCCCTAGAGGCCCCTCTTGACGGCCCCGCGCTAGCCCCATTCAGGCCCCGTCGGCCCCACGCCCGCTCTCCCTAGCGGCCCCGTTCAGGCCCCGTCGGCCCCTTTACGGCCCCGTTCAGGCCCCGTGCTAGCCCCGTTCAGGCCCCGTCGGCCTCGTTTCAGGCCCCGTCGGCCCGCGCTAGCCCCGTTTCAGGCCCCGTCGGCCCCGTTTCAGGCCCCGTCGGCCCCGTTTCAGGCCCCGTCGGCCCCGCGCTAGCCCCTCTCAGGCCCCGTCGGCCCGTGCTAGCCCCGTTTCAGGCCCCGTTGGCCCCGTTTCAGGCCCCATCGGCCCCGCGCTAGCCCCTCTCAGGCCCCGTCGGCCCGCGCTAGCCCCGTTTCAGGCCTCGTCGGCCCCGCGCTAGCCCCTCTCAGGCCCCGTCGGCCCCGCGCTAGCCCCATTCAGGCCCCGATCGGGCCCGCGCTAGCCCCGTTTCAGGCCCCGTCGGCCCCGTTTCAGGCCCCGTCGGCCCCGCGCTAGCCCCGTTCAGGCCCCGTCGGCCCCTTGCTAGCCCCGTCAAGGCCCCGTTTGGCCCCGCGCTAGCCCCGCTCAGGCCCCGATAGGCCCCGCGCTTGCCCCTCTAGGGCCTCAACCGGCCCCGTGCCGACCTCGCCGACCCGTGCCCACCACCTAGAGGCCCCGGGCGGCCCGTTCCCGCCGCAGCACACGAGGGAGAGCGGGCGGCCCGTCCCCGTCGTGACCCGAGCCGCGCGCCCCGAGCCGAGCCGCGCGCCCCGAGCCGAGCCGCGCGCCCTGAACCGAGCCCCGCCACCCAGCCGAGCCGCGACCCGACCTGAACCGAGCCGCGCCGCCCTGCCCTACCTGGTCCGTCCTACCTGCTTCTCCTACTGCTACTGCTGCTGTTTCTACTGTTCCTATGGCTAGCCCACAGGTTCTCGTGTTCGATGCTGAGGGCCGCCCTGTGAAGTTTGACACCTGGCTCGATGACCTGCACCTCTACCTACAGCTCACAGCCAAGGATGACATCTCACTATACGATCACGCCCTAGGCCATGTCACTGCCCCTGCTGCTACTGCTGACAGCACTGCTCGCTCACAGTGGCAGACTCGTGATGCCCACGCTCGCTTTGCCATTCGCAACTCCCTGCCGATAGACGAATGCGAGCACTTTGGTCAGCACAAGACTGCACAGGCACTTTACACAGCTGTAGTTGCTCGCTACTCCTCACCTGCCTCTGCCGCACTAGGCCGTCTCTCCCTCCCCTACCTGTTTCCCGACCTGGCCTCCTTTCACACAGTCGCTGACCTCATCACGCACCTCCGTACTAGTGAGGCCCGCTTCCGTGCCGCCATGCCTGCTGAGTTCCTTGCCACGCACCCCCCTCCACTCTGGCTCACTCTCTACCACCTAGTCACCCGCCTCCCTGACACACTACGTGCTGTCAGGGACCACTTCCTAGCTCGTTGCCCCACTGAGCTCACCATTGCCCTCCTCGAGAAGGAGCTACTTGCAGCTGAGACTAGCATAGTCACTGTAGGTGCCTCTCGTGGCGACCCCCGTACCCCGTTCTTTGAGGGGTGTTCTCCTTCCCCCCTTCTTCCCTCTGTCGCCTCTGCTGCTGCTGTCGACCTTCTTGGTACTGAGAAGGTTGGCGCTGCGTCTGCCTCGAGCGGACGCCGCAGCGGCAAGGGCAAAGGGGGCAAGGGTGGTGGCGGTGACGGCGGGGGAGGCGGCGGTGGGGGCGGTGAAGGCAGTGGGGGTGGTGGCTCGGCTGGAGGGGCGAGTGGTAGCGGTGGGGGTGGTGGCGGCAGTGGCGAGGGAGGTGGCAGGAGTGGAGGCGGCGGTTGGGGTGGTGGTGGACGAGGCGGCGGCAGGGGTTGGGGTGGTCGAGGAGGTGGCAGCGGTGGTGGTGGCTGTGGAGGCACTGGCGGTGGCGAGGGTCAGCAGCACACTCCCTCGCCCCAGGAGGTCCGTGAGTGGTACTCTCAGCACGGGGGTGGGGGTGGTCTTAGCTGCACGTACGTCATTCGCACTCGTGACCGCACTAGTCAGCAGTGTGGACGACCACACGCCACACAACGTTGCTTCTCTCGTCTAGACGACGCTTGGCGTGTTCAGTTCCCTCAGGCCACTGAGCTGCCCCGCTGGCTTGATCTCCTGAAGAAGGGGATTGATATCTATGCTCTAGACTTTGATGCTATTCTATCTGCCATGTATGTGATGTCTACTAGTGGAGAGGGTGCTGAGTACTTGTGTGTGCCGCCCGACCCCAGCATTAGGGCCAGTGCATCTGCCACTCTAGGTACTCGAGTGTCCGCTACCCCAGGTGCTGGTGATGCTGCTGCTCTAGGTGCTCGTGTGTCTCCCCCCCTTGGTACTGAGTCGACTGCCGCACTGCACACCTTCACACTGGACTCAGGTGCTTCTCGCTGCTTCTTTCGTGACCGCACTGCCCTTGAGCCGCTTGCTCGGCCAGTTGTTGTCTCCCTTGCTGACCCCTCTGGGGGTCCGGTCATTGCGACCTCTTCCACTGTCCTTCCATGCCCTGCGGTCCCGTTGGGCACACTGTCAGGTCTCCACCTCCCCTCGTTCTCTACGAACTTGGTGGCAGGATGTGCACTCCAGGACGGGGGTGTTCACCAGTTCACCCCTGCCTACGAGCGCGTGACACACTGCACGTGTGCTCGTACGGACTGTCACTTGGCTACCTTCACTCGGCAGCCGGGGTCGGACCTGTACACACTGACTACTGAGTCCCCTCAGGTTGCTGCGACTGCGTCCACGTCCGCGTCAGGTCAGCTGTCCGCCCCCTGCTCGTGTCGCTCTTTGGCACACGAGACTCTCCTCTGGCACCACCGCCTTGGCCACCCGTCTGTGCAGCGGCTTCGTGCCATGCACTCCCGGTACCTTGTCTCTGGCCTGCCCAGGGTCCTTCCTGCCCTCCCAACCTCGCCTGCTCCTACCTGTCTCCCCTGTGTCGAGGGACGGCAGCGCGCCGCTCCTCACTCCTCTTCGTTCCCCCCGACGACTGCTCCCTTGCAGACACTCCACATGGACGTGTGGGGCCCATCCCGCGTCCGTTGTCAGGGTCAGGAGAGGTACTTCCTGATAATTGTTGACGACTACTCGCACTACACCTCGGTCTTCCCCTTGCACACCAAGGGTGAGGTTCCTGATGTCTTGATCCCTTGGATCCACAGAGCCCGTCTCTAGCTCAGCGAGCGTTTTCACTCGGACTTTCCTGGCTTGCGCTTGCACTCTGACAGAGGTGGTGAGTTCTCCTCCGACCTCTTGGCAGCCTACTGTGCTCAGCACGGCATTGAGCTGTCGTTCACGCTTCTGTCTTCTCCACAGCGGAATGGGGTCTTGGCACTGACGTCCTTGAGGACAGGCAGGAGGAGTTTGAGTGCTTTGCTGCCGCTTTGCCCCATCTTGTGTCCATGCTTGTTGCCCCTGAGGGAGACCCGGATGCACCAGACATCCCGACCCCACGCTCTTACGCAGAGGCAATGGCCGGTCCCTACTCCTCTCAATGACAGTCAGCCATGGACACAGAGATCGCTTCGTGGAAGTCCACAGGCACCTACGTCGACGAGGTTCCCCCACCTGAGGCGAACATCGTCAGTGGCATGTGGATTTTCAGGGTGAAGTAGCCGCCGGGCTCTCCGCCTGTCTTCAAGGCGCGTCACGTTGCACGAGGCTTCAGTCTGCGAGAGGGAGTTGACTTCTTCCGGACCTTCTCCCCGACCCCAAAGATGACCACTCTTCGGGTTTTGCTGCACGTTACCGCTCAGCGTGACTACGAGCTCCACTTACTTGACTTCAGCACTGCTTTCTTGCAGGGCAGCCTGCACGAGGAGATCTAGCTGCGCCGTCCACCTGACTTCACTGGGTCGTTCCCTCCTGGTACCCACTGGAACCTCCGACGGCCAGTCTACAGTCTCCGCCAGGCGCCTCGTGAGTGGCACGACACACTGAGGACTACGCTTGCGGCTCTTGGGTTCGCGCCTTCTACTGCTGACCCGTCGCTGTTTCTACGCACCGACACCTCACTGCCGCCGTTCTACGTCCTTGTGTACGTCGACGACTTGGTCTTTGCTACTGCTGACACTGTGGCACTCGCCCACGTGAAGTCGGAGCTGCAAAAGAGACACACGTGCACAGACCTGGGTGAATTGACAAGCTATCTTGGCTTGCGGATCACTCGACCAGACCTTGCATACCCTCTCAGCATTCTTGCACGCTATGTCGCTCCCGGCCGTCACCGGAAGGAGCACATGGATGCAGCTAAGAGGGTGTTGCGCTACTTGTGCAGTACGTCAGGCATGGGGCTAGTGCTTGGAGGGCGAGTCCCAGTTGTTCTCACTTGACACTCAGACGCTTCTTGGGCAGACGACCAGGCTACTCAGCGGTCGTCTCAGGGTTACTCCTTCAGTCTTGGCTCTGGTTCAGTTTCTTGGCGTTCTACTCGCTCTTCTTCTGTTCTCAGCTCCAGTTGTGAGGCTGAGATCTACGCCACAGCCATGGCGGCCCAGGAGCTACGCTGGCTCACCTACTTGCTGACCGACCTTGGAGAGCAGCCTGGTGCTCCTCCAGTGCTGTATGTCGACAACAAGGCAGCCATTGCCTTGTGTGAGGAGCACAGACTGGAGCACAGAACGAAGCACATTGCTCTGCGTTACTTCCTTGCCCGAGAGCTGCAGCAGCGTGGTCAGCTTCGCCTGCGTTACGTGGCCTCTGAGGCCAACACTGCTGATGTGTTCACCAAGGCGCTTCAGCCTTGTGACCATCAGCGCTTTTGCACTCTTCTAAACCTTAACCTACTGGACCTCACTAGCTTACTTCTTGAGTCTGTACTGTGATCTCTATATATTTACCTGCATGTTTACTCTTGTTAGGTTGTGATCATTCTACCTTTTGCTCTATTATAAACATGCATGTGAACTGGTCTTGTGACCACTTGCTTGTGCTCGGAATTTGTGTGGTATCCTTGATATCCACCCTGAGCTTGTTTTGCCTTGCTTTGCCTTGACTGGTCTTGTGACCCCTAGTTCTCCCCCACTTTGCCTATGGGGGTGTGTCGAACATTATATATGTTGTGTTAGTTTAGGCTACAGTGGGTTAGCCTATAGGGGGTACACAATTCTAGGGTTAGGTACTTGTACTCATTTCACTGCTAGTTCATTCATTCCTCTTCAATGATTCCAACACTGCTCCGGCCGACCTCCTTGGTCTTGAGTCGGTCGGTGCGGCGTCTGCCCCTAGCGGGAGACGCCGCCCTGGCAAGGGCAAGGGGGGCAAGGGCGCTGGAGGAGCAAGCGGGGGCGGTGGTGGAGGAGGTGGCGGCGGTGGGGGGAGTGGGGGTGGCGGTGGGAGTGGAGGTGGGGGTGGGGGGGTCGGTGGCGGCAGTGGAGGCGGAGGTGGCGGCAGCGGTGGCGGTGGGAGCGGAGGTGGCGGAGGTGGCGGCGGTGGAGGCGGAGGCGGAGGTGGCGGCAGCAGCGGAGGCGGCGGAGGTGGCGGAGGCGGCGGGGGTGGGGGTGGTGCTGGTCGGGGGTCTTCGCAGAGGAGTGGCTCCGGTGGTGGCTCGCGCCAGCAGAAGCAGCGCAGTCGGGAGACCCTCTCCCCTCAGCAACTTCGTGAGTGGTACACTGCGCGCCAGCGGGGTGGGGGTTTTGGTCCGTGTTACTACGTTTTGCGCACTGGCGACCGTGCGGGTGAGCAGTGTGGGGGAGCCCACCCCACCCAGCGCTGCTTTGGCCGCCTGACGGACGCGTGGCGTCACCAGTTCCCGGCCGCCTCAGAGATCCCTCGCTGGGGGGAACTGTCTAGGGCGGGGGTTGCCATCTATGATCTTGACTTTGATGCTTTTCTCTCTGCCATGTATGCTGTATCTATTAGTGATGAGGGTGACTGCTACCGGTGTTTCCCGCCCGATCCGGGCATTGAGACTGCTGCTCTAGGTACTGGTGAGGCTGCTGCCCTAGGTGCTTGTGACGCTGCTGCTCTAGGTGCTCGTGTGTCTGCGTCCTCAGGTGCTGGTGAGTCTGCGCTCTCAGGTACTACGTCGGCTTCGGCCTCTCTCACCTTCACTCTTGACTCTGGGGCGTCTCGCTCCTTCTTTCGGGACCGCACCACACTCACACCGTTGAGTCGGCCAGAGGCAGTGTATCTGGCTGACCCCTCAAGGGGTCCTGTCCTGTCTCGCTTCTCCAGAGTCCTCCCGTGCCCGGCGGCTCCCTCTGGCACCCTGTCTGGTCTCTACCTCCCCTCGTTCTCTACGAACCTGGTGAGTGGTGCTGACCTATAGGATGGGGGAGTGCACCAATTCACTCTTGCGCGTCAGCGGGTGACGCACTGTACAGAGGCTAGCACAGGCCGGCACCTGGCTACGTTTACTCGTCAGCCGAGGTCGAGCGTGTACACACTGACGACTGCATCTCCTCCCGTTACTGAGTCTGGTTGAGTCGCTTCGTCGGGTCAGGTGTTTGCTGCAGCGTCCAGGTCTGGTCCTGAGTCTGCACCCTGTTCGTGTCGTCTCTTGTCTCACAAGACTCTCCTCTGGCACCACCGTCTTGGTCACCCCTCTCTACTTCGGCTCAGAGGCATGGCCTCCCGTCTTCTTGTGTCTGGTCTCCCCCGGTCCCTCCCTCCCCTTCCTCAGGGCCTTGGCCTTGCCTGTGTCCTCTGTGTCGAGGGGCGCCAGCGTGCTGCCCCTCACTCCTCCCAGCTTCCTCCGACAGCGGCCCCGTTGCAGACGCTTCACATGGACGTGTGGGGCCCAGCCCGCGTCTGTGGACAGGGTCACGAGCGCTACTTCCTGCTCCTTGTTGACGACTACTCGCGTTACACCACAGTCTTCCCCTTGCGCAGCAAGGGTGATGTCACTCAAGTGCTGATCGACTGGATCCGCGCAGCTCGTCTCCAGCTCAGGCAGAGCTTTGGCTCGGACTTCTCTGTTCTACGTCTGCACTCGGACAGAGGCGGAGAGTTCTCCTCTGGCCTTCTGCGAGCCTACTGTCATGCACGAGGCATCCGTCAGACCTTCACGCTTCCGGACTCACCGCAGCAAAATGGGATTGCTGAGTGCCGCATTGGCATGGTCATGGACGTCGCTCGTACGTCTATGATGCATGCGGCTGCCCCCCATTTTCTGTGGCCGTTTGCAGTCAGGTACGCGGCGCATCAGATCAACCTTCACCCCCGGGTCTCCAGACCGGAGATCTTTCCAGCCCTGCTGAGGACGGGGAAGGTTGGCGATGCGTCGGCATTACGGGTCTGGGGATCTCGGGCGTTTGTCCGCGACTTGTCTACGGACAAACTGTCCCCTCGTGCTGCTCCCTGCGTCTTCCTGGGGCTCCCCCCCGACGCGCCTGGGTGGCAGTTCTACCACCCCACCTCTCGCAGTGTTCTGTCCTCCCAGGATGTCACGTTCGACGAGTCAGTCCCCTACTACCGCCTCTTCCCCTACCGCACTCCGTCCCTCCCCCCGCCCCCACTCTTCCTTGTAACAGGTCCCCCCCGGTAGACCCCTTTCCCCCTCAGGGTCCTGCCCCTTCAGGTGTGTCCCAGGTAGACGCAGTCGAGCCTGTCGAGGTCACTATTGACTCTGGTGCTGCTGAGGGTGCTGAGCCTAGGGGTGCTGAGCCTGGGGGTGCTGAGTTTTGGGGTGCTGAGCCTGGGGGTGCTGGGCCTGGGGGTGCGGAGCCTGGGGGTGCTGAGCCTGGGGGTGCTGAGCGTGGGGGTGCTGGGCCTAGGGGTGCTGAGCCTGGGGGTGCTGAGCCTGGGGGTACGGAGCCTAGGGGTGCTGAGCCTGGGGGTGCTGAGCCAGGAGGTGCTCTGCCTGGAGGTTCTCCGGGTACTTCGTCTCGCCGAGAGCCACTCTCTCCACGGGAGCTGTGCGAGTGGTTTGCCCGGCGCTGGAGCCGTGCTACTGGTACTGGAGGTTCTTCGGCTGCTGAGGGTACTGCTGTCGCGGGTCCCGGAGGTGCTTGTACTGACAGTAGTGAAGCTGCTGAGCCTACGGGTTCGACTGGAGCTGGTGCTGCTGAGGGTGTTGGTGCTGAGACTACCACTAGCGGTCCTGCTGGGGGTGCTCCTGGTGCTGCTGGAGGTTCTGGTGCTGCTGGAGCGGGTGCTCCTGCTGGGGATTCTGGTGCTGTCCCTACTGTTTCTGGCGTCGCCACGCGGCCTCAACCGTACTTCGTTCCACTCCTACAGCAGGTTCTTGGTCTTCCACCTTCTACAGGTCCTCCACCTCCCTTGGAGGGTCCCCAGTCTGTCCCGTCACAGCCACATCTACAGCGTGCCTCCCCTTTGCCTACTCCTACTCCCTACGCTGGTCCTACTGGTGGTCTTACTGAGCGTCGTGAGCCTGCGTCTCGTCCTGCGTCGCCTATTCGTGCTGCTCGCGCTAGTTGTCGCGGTTCGCGTCAGCGTCCTCCGCCTGTCCCTGGCACGCACCGGATGTCTCTGCGTCCGTCTACTGCTCCTCTGCGTGCCCCTTTGCCTTCTCCTCCTGCGTCCTCTCTTCCTGCACTTGCCGACCCGGAGTCGGACTCTCTTCATGCTGCCAGTCCTACTGTCACGCGTCTCCTTGCTACTGCCGTCACTGACCCTTCTTTCGAGTATTCTGCTGCGTCTGCCCTTGTTGCTGAGCTCGTCGACTTTGCTGCTCGCTGTCGCCTAGACTACGGTGCCAGTCTTGTCTCTGACTCTGAGTCTGTCTGTCCTCTGTCCGTCGGGGGTGAGTGTGCCCTTGGCACGGACGTCCTCGAGGACAGGCACGAGGAGTTCCAGTGTCTGGCAGCTGCTTCACCTCATCTCGTGTCCGTACTGCTTACCCCTGAGGGAGACCCGGATGCACCAGACATCCCGACTCCGCGCTCTTACGCGGAGGCCGTAGAGGGTCCCTACTCCTCTTAGTGGCAGGCAGCTATGGATGCAGATATGGCTTCCTGGAAGTCCACAGGCACCTACGTTGACGTGGTTCCTCCTCTTGGGGCGAACATCGTCAGTGGCATGTGGATCTTCAGGGTGAAGCGGCCGCCGGGCTCTCCACCTGTCTTCAAGGCGCGGTACGTGGCTCGTGGATTCAGTCAGCGGCAGGGAATTGACTACTTTTATACCTTCTCTCCCACTCCGAAGATGACCACTCTTCGGGTGCTGCTACACATAGCCGCTCAGCGTGACTACGAGCTTCACTCCCTTGACTTAAGCACTGCTTTCCTGCAGGGTAGCCTGCACGAGGAGATCTGGCTGCGCCGTCCACCTGGCTTGACTGAGACTTTCCCTTCTGGCACCCAGTGGAGCCTCTGACGGCCAGTCTACGGTCTCCGCCAGGCACCGCGCGAGTGGCACGACACACTGAAGACTACGCTTGCGGCTCTTGGGTTTGCTCCCTCTACTGCTGACCCGTCGTTGTTTCTGCGCACCGACACCTCTCTGCCGCCATTCTACATCCTTGTGTACGTCGACGACTTGGTCTTTGCCACAGCTGACACTGCTGGACTCGCCCACGTGAAGTCCGAGCTGCAGAAGAGACACACGTGCACAGACCTGGGTGAACTGCGCAGCTACCTTGGCTTGCAGATCACCCGGGACAGAGCACGCCGCACCATTACCCTGACTTAGTCACACATGGTGCAGCAGGTCCTTCAGCGCTTCGGCTTCACGTAATCCTCGCCTCAAGCCACTCCTCTGTCTACTCGCCACTCGCTCTCAGCTCTGCCTTCGGATGAGTCCGTAGAGTCGAGTGGCTCGTACCCAGAGCTTGTTGGCTGCCTCATGTACCTGATGACCTGCACACGACCTGACCTTGCATACCCTCTTAGCATTCTTGCACGCTATGTTGCTCCTGGGAGACACAGACCAGAGTTCATGGCTGCAGCGAAGAGGGTGTTGCGCTACTTGTGCAGTACGTCGGGCATGGGGCTAGTGCTTGGAGGGCGGAGTCCAGTGGTCCTCACTGGGCACGCGGACGCTTCTTGTGCTGATGACCAGGCTACACAGCAGTTGTCACAGGGTTACACCTTCAGTCTTGGTTCCGGCTCTGTTTCGTGGCGGGCTACTCGCTCGTCTTCTGTTCTCGGCTCCAATTGTGAGGCTGAGATCTACGCCGGGGCCATGGCTGCACAGGAGCTTCGCTGGCTCACCTACTTGCTGACCGACCTCGGAGAGCCGCCTCGTTCTCCTCCAGTGCTGTACGTAGACAACAAGGCCATGCTGGCCTTGTGTCGGGAGCAGCGCCTGGAGCAGAGAACGAAGCACATTGCTCTCCGCTACTTTCTTGCTCGTGAGTTGCAGCAGCGTGGCTAGTTGCGACTTGCGTACGTGGCCTCTGAGGCCAACACTGCTGATGTTTTCGCCAAGGCACTTCCGCCTTGTGATCATCAGCGCTTCTGCACTCAGCTGGGTCTTGTGCCTGTCTTGCTTCACTTGCTCACCCCTTGACCTTGCTTGTACTCTTACATATATATATACCTGCTCTTGCTTGTTTAGCCTTATATATATATGTGTACTCCTGCATGTGAACTGGCCTTGTGGCCTTGACCTTGTGCTCGGACTGTGTGGTGACGTTGTGATCCACCCTGAGCTTTGTCTGCTTTGCTTGACTGGTCTTGTGACCCCTTGTTCTCCCCCACTTTGCCTATGGGGGTGTGTCAAATTATAATATTGTGTAGGCTATAGTGGGGTAGCCCATATGGGGTACACATTTCTAGGGTTGCATATTTTGTATCACTTCCATTCCTTAGTCATTCATTCTCGTTCTACTTTTCTCACGAAAATCATTAACAAAATCTACACCCAACGCAATTGAACTGACATCGACGGGCATCGAACCTGCGTCTTCTGATCGCGTTGCAGTTCTAACCTTCCGAGGTATGGGCAGATTACGTCACATGTCACTTTTGGGAAATGTTGAAATGTAGCGCAAAACCGCTTGAAGACGAAAATGTCCCGAAAGTGTCTTTCAAGATAGTTTCGGGACGGATTTGTGTCTGTTCTGGGACAGAATGGTTTCGGGACAGATTGGGGACCACGCAATTTTGGTGATGTGGGAGTAGAGAGCAGGCCCCCAGATTCGTTTTTTGCCTGTCTGATCCGTCAGACTAATACACAATTTTAGTGTGAAAATCTCAGAGTTGGTATAAAAAAAAGTCTGAAATTTCAGTGTGTCCTAAAAAAAAAGTCTGATCATTCAAAAATAATGTATTCAATGTTTCATCGGAATGTAATCAATGTTTCATTCATCTGCTACCGAAACACACAACACTAAGGGGATTTCCGATAAAAACATGCTCTGACAGGGCGAATATATGTGTAAGGGCGAATCTTGTGGTGCGAAAGAGCGAATCTGCAATGTCAGGGCGAGTTTTCTGTGATTGGTCGAAAATTGTTGTGCTCTCACAGCGCAGATCTGTTGTGTCAAGGCGATTTTGCTATGATTGGGCGAAAATCTTGTGCTGTAAGGCTCGGATTTGCTGTGTAAAGAAGATTTTGCGTTGACATTGCGAATCTGTTGTGACCCGTAAGTCCGAATCACCAGTCAAGGACGCGTCTGTACTCTGAATGATCAGAGTACACTCTCAGAAAACTCTGAACTCTCTAAGTTAGCCTTAAAAAAAGTCTGAAAATTACAGAGTTTGGGCCCAAAAAAGTCTGATTTAAACAGAGTACACTGGAAAAATAAAATCTGAAATATCATACTTTTTTGTGCAAATCAGAGAAAAAAGTCTGACTTCGTAGGGCCTGGTGGAGAGTGTGGCTTGAGGTTGCGGGATACCGCAAAAAGGAACCACATGAGAGGGAAGGAGGGGGTCTTATCCGTTAAAGAGGACCAGTTTCGCTGTGCAGCAGTTGGGCTTGGTACTTTGGCTGTTACTATTGGATCAGGGGGGAAGTTGCAAAGAGAAAGGAGGTCTCACTACTGGCGTACCTATAATATGGATGGTGTAACGCATGCGGGCTTAGACGAAGGGTCAAAAGACTACTGCTCTGTCTCTGAATAACCCTGTTTTGGCTCAGTGGTTTTAAGAGGAAGGGAGATTCAACCTGGTGCCACCAGAAATAAAAAGGGTGTCGTTGGTGTGGGAAAGGTATTTTGGGGGCCCCAAAAAACTTATTGAAAAGTATTGAAAAAAATGTTTTGAAAGCACATATCATAAAGCTGTCTGATGCGGTAGGGCATGTTTTGGAGGGGGAACAGGAGGGTTGTGTTCCTCAGAAACTGTGCAGCCTTGGGAAGGGGAGGGGGAGGGGGGGGGAGAGAAGGGGAGGGGAGGGGGAAAGGATAATTCACATTCAGGATGATGCTTATTCTGGGCAGTACCTGGCAGTTCCCAAGGTTCGGACTTGTACAGATCCACGTCGCTGATCGCATTCCATCTCTGAAAAGGTCTCACCTCAACCTAACCCGAAATCGACCTATGGGTCACCTTCGGGTCAGGCGCCCAGGTTTAGCTAGGGTCCCAGGTGTCAAAATGAGGAATGATGATGCCATTGATGTTGGTTGGGGTACATATAACAAACCCTAATTTCTGTACCCCCTAAGACAAACCTCACTACAGGCTACAA